TACCCGAAGTCAACGCCAGCAGGAGACGGACCAGAGGAGATTTGGTGGTGCAACGCCGCAGACGTCGGAGGGCCAACGGCCAGCCACGGAGGCTGCGGGCCCGGCAGTAGCTCCTACACCTGCAGCACCTGACTTAGGTGCTCTGATGGTGATGCTACAGGAGCAGCTGCAGCGCGGACAAGAGGAACAGGTCCGTCTGTTGAAAGAGCGGCAGGAAGCACAGGCTCGCCGACAGGAGGAACAGGTCCGTCAGTTGAAAGAGCAGCTGCAGAGCGGACGGGAGGAACAGGCCCGCCAATTGGAAGAGCAGCTGAGGGGCGGACAGAAGGAACAGGCCCGCCGGCAGGAGGAACAGGTCCGCCGACAGGAGGAACAGGCCCGTCGTTTAGAAGATCAACTTCAACGCGATAAGGAAGAGCAGATGCTCCTCATGAAGGACCTTCACGCTATCTTTGGAAAAGAGATACGGGAGGTGAAGGATAAGGTTGATCAACGTGACAACCGCCTGTTGGAGGCCGAAACCCGAATCGACCAAGTAAACAATCGGGTTGACAACGTAATGGCTGACGTGAAGAAAACGCTGGACGACCTCAAACTTGGGGATGGAACAACAGCTCCCGTAGTAGCTACAACACCTTCGCTACGTGGATTAAAAGTGCCGCCGTTCGACGGGACCTCTTCCTGGTCGGCCTACAAAATCCAGTTCGAGGCCGTCATGGAGGCGAACGGCTGGAATAAAAGCCAAGCCATGACTGCACTCACCCTAGGCCTGCGCGACCAAGCCTTAACTGTGTTGGAAGCTCTCGGTAAGAAAGTGACCTACGAGCAGCTCCTTGAGGCCTTGGAGGCGAAATATGGTGACGCTCACCTGGAACACGTCTTTCGCGCGCAGCTTAAAGATCGCGTGCAGCGCAGCAACGAAAACCTGCAGCAGTGGGCCCTTGAGGTGGAGAAGACGGTTCGAAAAGCATACCAGTCTGTACCTCCGCTCATTGAAGGGAACCTGGTTCAGACATTCATCGACGGCATCCGCGACCTTGAAGTCAGAGCTGCTGTGAGACTCGGGCACCAGGACACGCTTAAGGGCGCCTTGGCCCATGCACTAGAGGTGGAAGCCGTGCGGCAGGATCATCATTCCCATTGCATCAGGGAGGTTGCAGTCCTCCGTCCGTGGAGAGAAGGAGATGCGAGTTGAAGCTAGGCAACGTGATCTACCTGCATAATGTCATCGTGGCTGATATAATGGACGACTGCATCCTAGGCCTAGACTTATGAGGAATAATTGTTGTGAGATCGACGTTAAGCAAGGTGTTTTCGAAATGTGGACAGGAGGAACTTTTTATGGAAGGTGCGTTACCAGGGAACGTGTACAGCATTAAGAAGATTGTTCTTCCGCCGAGATCGGAAACGATTGTTCCGGTTAGTCTTCCCCGAAACGTTGGGCAAGCTCACCGTTGTGTACTTGTGGAAAGGGTAAACAATGACCTTCCATGGAAAGTAGCTCGAACCCTGGTCAGAACCACTGACATCTCAAGAGTACGTGTGCTGAACCTTTGTGACCGGGAGCAGATTATAGAAAAAGGCAGACTGGTTGGTACTTGTGAGGAAGTAGATTGGTTATGTCGGTGCCAATATATATCGAGTGGGACCCCCAGCAAGGATTCAGAAACGAGAGTAACCACACTTTTGGAAGACTGTGGCAGTGTTCTCTCCCCGAACGAATTGGTCATGGCGAAGAAGTTGTTACTCAAGTACGCCGATGTATTCTCATCAAACGATGCTGACATAGGAAAGACTGGCTTAGTTCAACACAAAATAAACACAGGAGAAGAGTTACCTATCCGTCAGCGGCCAAGAAGATTGCCGGTAGCACGTGAAAAGGAAGTGGAAACCATGATTGAAGGAATGGTGAAGGATGGTGTTATTGAACCTTCCTCTAGTCCATGGTGTTCACCAGTGGTGCTGGTGAAGAAGAAGGATGGCAGCATGCGGTTTTGTGATGACTAACCGCCGTCTGAACGACGTTACGAAGAAGGACAGCTATCCCTTGCCAAGAATTGATGACTCGCTGGACATGCTTACAGGAGTAAAGTGGTTTAGCACGCTGGATCTAAAAAGTGGCTACTGGCAAGTTGAAATTGACCCTAAGGACAAGGAGAAAACTGCGTTCTCGACGGGAAAGGGTCTGTGGCAATTTAAAGTAATGCCGTTTGGGTTGTGCAATGCTCCAGCAACGTTTGAAAGGCTGATGGAACTTGTACTTACCGGGCTAATTGGCGATGCCTGTCTGGTCTACTTGGATGACATCATCATCGTAGGCCGTACATTTGAGGAACACCTTCAAAACCTGGAACCGAAAAAAAGCTCATGAAGATTCAGAGTGTCAACCTCAAGTTGAGCCCGAAGAAATGTTCACTATACCAACGGCAAGTTAACTTTTTGGGGTTTGTAGTATCGGAAGAAGGTATCCGCACAGATCCAGAGAAAATCGCCGCTGTCAAGGATTGGCCGGTTCCAAAAGACAAGACGCAGGTTAGAGCATTTTTGGGTTTGTGCTCCTATTACCGGCGATTTGTGAAGAACTTTGCAGATATAGCCAAACCTCTGCACAAGCTAACCGAGGAGAAGCGACATTTCTTTTTTTTTTTTTTATAGAATAGGGTGACAAACGAGCACGCAGTCCACCTGATGGTAAGTGGTTGCTGCGGCCCAGAGACATCTACATCTATCCTCCATTAAAAATCAAAATGCAGATGCGTTGTCACCCGTGAGGACTGAGATGGAATGCCTCGTTTCCAGTAAAAAGGGTCTCTGCTGGGATGAAAGTTACGATATCGCATTCCAGGAGCTCAAGGACCGTGTGTGCAAAACACCTATTTTGGGATACCCTGATGCAAGCAAAGAATGTATAGTTGACACAGACGCAAGTGATATAGGACTTGGCGGTGTGTTGCCTCAACGGAATGGTGACCAAGAGGTCGTGATAGCGTACTTCAGCAAGTCATTGTCAAAACCGGAAAGGAACTATTGTGTCACAAGACGCGAATTGCTCGCTGTGGTAAAGTCGTTGCAGCATTTTAGCAAATATCTTCTGGGACGAAAATTTCACTTACGAACTGACCATGCTGCGCTAAAATGGCTATTGCAGTTTAAAAATCCAGAAGGACAAGTTGCGAGATGGATTGAACTACTGCAGGAATACGACTTTGAGATCGAACATCGCAGCGGGAAATCTCATGGCAACGCAGATGCATTGTCAAGAAGACCTTGTCCTGAAGATTGCAAACATTGTACTAGGCAAGAGAGTAAGGAAGTGGTATCCGTGAGGATGCTCAGGGCAGACCACCCAGCAACGAGTGGGAGGACAGCTTTCAACGTGCACAGCAGGAAGATCCGGACATCAAGCCGATCCTGGAATGGATGAAGGCCAGTGCTCCCAAGCCCAAGTGGAGCGACGTCTCAGCGATGAGTTCGACCACTAAAAGCTATTGGGCCCAGTGGGACAGCTTGCTGCTTCAGGGTGGAGTTCTGTGCCGTAAATGGGAAAATGTTAGGGGAGACAGCTGTCATTTGCAAATGGTTGTCCCTAAAGCAAAAGTACCGGATGTTCTACAGCTGTACCATAATGATTGTTCCGGAGGCCATCTGGGAGTTAAACGAACTCTACTGAAGATCCGAGAACGGTTTTATTGGGTCCACTGTTGAAACGATGTCGAGGACTGGTGTCGCAAATGTACAAGTTGTGCGGCTGTAAAGGGACCTCAGACTCGTAGTAGAGGTGCATTGAAGTTGTACAATGTTGGTGCACCATGGGAGAGAATAGCCATTGACGTGGCGGGGCCGTTTCCAGAGAGTGAAAGCGGTAACAAGTATTTCATGGTTGTGATGGATTACTTCACAAAGTGGCCAGAAGTTTTCGCCATTCCAAATCAAGAAGCTTCAACAGTTGCAGATAAACTAGTTCATGAAGTCTTCTGTCGTTTTGGAGTACCTTTAGAGATTCACAGCGATCAAGGAAGGAATTTTGAGTCTCAAATATTCCAGGAAACTTGCCGAGTTATGGTACTCATAAAACAAGAACGACTTCTTATCACCCGCAATCTGATGGAATGGTGGAACGATTTAATCAGACGTTGGAGAGGTACCTAGCAAAAGTTGTAGAAAGACACAGAAAGGCGCAAGAGGGACTCCTAAGATCGTCCATGTGGATCGCTTGGCGCGTTATTATGGGACGGATAATGCTCGGGACGAGCATGTCTTAGGAGGGGGCAGTGTTGCGTGAATAAGTCAACGTCATACCCTAGCGCCATCTAGTGTCAGGAACGAGAGCGAGGGCAGCTTTGCAGAAAATGACATCACAAATCTTTCAACCGACAGCGCCTAGTCGAAACTCGAACGCTCGGTACCTTGCGCGTGTTTACTTGAACATTCTGGATATTTCTTTGCTAATTTATATAAATAGGCGCTGCAAGATGCGATCGGGGCAGTGTTGATTTGGCGAGACAAGCGAAGCTTCGGAGCGGAATAAAGTGAATTAGTGTGTTTAATTATTAGTGTTTTAAGTTTTAATTTGTGTAAAGTAAATTAAAGTGTTAATTAAGGTAATTCTATCGGCAATTTTTATTGTCACGAACCTCAAGCACGTAACAATACAAATTATTTCAATTCCGGGATTAGAAATTTGGATAGATATCAGTCGAGTCTTTAAAGACTTGTGTGAACAAATAGCAACCCCACCATACGAATCATCTCGGTCCTTGCGGTAAATATTGTAACCACTTATTTTAAGCATAACTTCAGCATTCAACCATGTCTCACAAATGGCAGCAATATGAATTTTCTCGCTATTTAACAGCTGGTCGAATTCCGTGCGTTTGGACCTAATACTTTGTGAGTTCCACTGAAAAACGTTGTAATTACTATTCATTATGGACTAAAAAAGCTTTTAAAAGGCAAATTCCAAATGCACTGCCCCACCAACGGTACTAACCATTCAATAATTAATGACATTCCTTGAATTTCTTAAGTTGTTCTTGTGAATTTGTAAATATAGCATATAACTTAGAAAGTAACTGACTAAAATTAAAAGTTGATTTAAGCTTCTCTCTTCTCTCTTTTTTCTCTTTTCTTGATTTTAGCTTACTTTCCATATCATCATCATTATCATTAATTACTTCTTCTGATTCTGCAGATATATCGTTTTCAGACACTACATTCTGATTTTGCTTCTTTTTCCTTTTTCTCTTTGTACTTATAGTTTTTTCTTGTAAAGTTTGCGAAACCTCCATAGCACCCGATTGTGATGTTAATGGTATTGATTTAGTGTTAGAAGTAATTTCAGAACGTAAGCGCGGTACCGATCGAGTAACGTTTGTGTAAGACATAACCCCATCTTCGTTTTGTGAGATAGAGGACACAGGTATGGGTTCAGGCATATTATTATATAAAGGTGTGTTTGGGTTGAGATGTCTTTGAGCCGTCTTTAATATAGTTGTTTCTTGTTCTACTTGTACGGGTTGAGGTTCTGGAGGATGTATTTGTAAGGCATTTTTATATGAGCAATTGAATTCAGCCATTAAACTCCTTAGACGCTTTTCTTTTATAAATATAGGACAAGATCTATCCAACGACATGTAAGTTCCGATACAGTTAATACATCTAAATGTTGTGATCTCACAAATAGCATGTCCCTTTCCACACTTAGGGCATACAATCTTTTTAAAGGGGCAAACACGTAGGCTATGACCGAACCTCCAACACCTTGAACATTGAGTGACTGGGAAGACATAGGGGTCGACGCTGATCTTCATGCCGTAAATGTATACTGATGCTGGCAACGATGAGCCCTTAAATTGCAACCGTATTGATTCACTATCTTCCCATCCCTTTCCATCCGTTTTTCTGCGCTTTAAGCGTTTTACACCTATGAGCTCGCAATCACTCGAAATTACCTCTAGCATTTCTTTTTCGGTCATCTCCTGCTCAATATCCTTAATGACACCGTATGAAAAAGGAACCCCTAATGGCTTTGGAAATCTCCATCCTAACTCCTTCAAAGGTGTACAGTTCATCAGCTCATCAGCACTTTCTGCGCATTCAAACTGCACAAATACTTTATACGCGTTCACATATTTCACACGGCTGATATGCTTAATATTATTGGTTTTTAAAAGTTTTGCAAGTGCAAACTGTTTAGGTAATTTTTCGAAGCAATTAATATATACATCAACTTTCTGTCCCATTCTCTTTCCATTTATTGAAACCGTAATCCATCTTTCGTCCTCATCCTCTTCTCTGCGTCTCTTACTACTAATAGGTCTAACCTCATCGTAAACCATTGCTTGACATTGAGCGGATTTCTCTGGTAAACAAATCTCCGTTTTCTGTTCATTGTTTTCAATTAGAATAGAATTCATCGCCTCCTCTTCTGAAATTTGATTTTCATCCATGGTGATCAGAGTACACCAATGAATGTCCTACAATTAAAGCATGGCACACCACTCAGGCACGTTGTTAACCGCCGAAGGAAATATATATTAAAAAATATAATTACTTTAATTAAAACATTTAATTAAAATTTAAGACAACTGTCACTTGTCACCTGTCACTGCGGTATGAGCTTGATTTCCTACAAATTGAGATCCATGCTCGACTCGAATCTACTTGCGCATGATACATTGATAGTAGTACTGAATATGGCACTTTATTCTTGATAATACAAAATTTTGCAAGCAATGACCTTAGCTTAATACAAATCGTATCTATATGAGGACCCCAGTTAAATATGCTGTCTATGATTAAGCCTAGGTATTTTTGATTTATAACTTGATCTATAGGTGTACACATGCATTTTGGAATAAGTCCATGCATACATTCATGAGTATGCACAATTATTGATATTAGACTAGATACTGTGTTATGACTCGATCTAATATGCATGACTTTATGTTTATCTGCGTTAAGAACTAGTCCCATATCATGAAAACATTGATTTAGAAGCTTTATATTATCTTGAAGAGTATTTTGAGCGGCCGCGATGTTACGATCTGCTGATACGAGACAAGAATCGTCTGCAAATTGATACAATTTACACTTTGTTATGAGGTGGTTAAGGTCATTTACATAAGCGAGGTAATGCAAGGGACCCGATACTGATCCCTGCGGTATTCCTTCTGTAATGTTTATTTTATCATTAAATGTATTGTCTACCCTAACAACATATTGTCGGTTACAGTGATAGTTTTTACTCCAGTCTAACAAAGGTCCTCTGACACCTGTGTCTTAAAGCTTTTCGATTAGAGTTTCATGTAGTAAACTATTAAACCTTTCTGTAGTCAATAAATTTAACTTATACGTGTTTTTTTCTCATCAAGTTAAGTATTAATATCGTTTGTGAATTTATATAGTAGCTGTATAGTGCTTTTTCTAGGTTGAAATCCGAATTAATTGTTAGATAGTATAGAGTTCGCAGTGTAAAATGTTTGTATTTGTTCACATGTATACTTTTCTACTATATTCGAGAGTATTGATATCTGCCTGTAATTGGCATATTGTTTTTGGGAGTTTTGGTTATGAATTGGCCTAATAATACTTGTTGTTAATCCATCTGGATAAATACCCTTTGTTATGCTCGTATCTTTCTTTAAGTTTTGTCAAAGTAAAAGACATCTTTTCAACTATGGCTTCAATCTTATCGCAATCGCCCGAATGCCATCAATACCAGGTGCTTTATTTTCGTTTATATTTCTATTATTTTTGCTACTTGCTTTACACACGGTTTTTTATAGTAAATAGATAAGCAAACCGGTTTTATATAACTTTCTATGTCTAAATATTATTTTTACAATTTAGTATTATTTTAGATACATTTTCTTTAAAATTAGAGGCGATATTATTCGATATTGTTTGAGTATTCATTTTGTTTGTTTTAAAAGCTTTATTTATTACTTTGTCTGTAGGTCGGAATATCCTTCCTGTCATTTTATTAATTATAACCCAAAGTTTACTTGTATTTTTTTATTTTTGCTTATCTTTGGTTTAAGAATATGTTTCTAGTTTTTTCTATTGTTTTGTGAGTTTTATTTGTTATTTTATCATACTCTGCTCTTAAAATGGCGTCAGTAGAATCTTTTTTCTCATTTAAACATAGATTATAACTACAAAGTTTTTATACTTTTATTTATCCATTATATTCATTATTTCGTTCAGATATTGATTTCATTTTTATAATGTACTCCAATTTTTTGTAAAATTCAGTAATTTTAGTTATTATATATTTGTACATCAAATTTGAGCAATCCATTGTACCATCATTACTCCAGTCTATATTGTGTAATTCTTTAATCGGACAGTCTTGTTTAAAATGTATTAATGTAAAAGAATCAGCCGGCTTGCCGCCGTATGGCGAGCGACGCATACAATTGTAGTCATTTGATGCTCCGCTAGTACAGTAACCAACGCCGCACTGTACAGGCCTTGTTTACGAGACCGCACAAAAATATGATCTATGCAACTCTTAGTTATTAGATGTTTACGAATTTCGATCCTAGTATAATTAGATACCCCACAGGGTAGGCCGTACTCGCTCATTAGGTCTACATGTTGTGATATAGTATTGTTTATCGCTTTAAGGTTTAGATTTATATGGCATATAATGAGAAAATTGTGACAGTGTGCGTATTTATTTAATAAGTGTTTCAGCTCAGGAAGAAATATTGTTTTACTTTTGTCTGGCGGTAGGTACAATGCACACAGAGTGTACATACAATACATTCAAAACTCAGTGATGCAGTTTTTGTGATACTGAAGTTGTGTTTGTTATTCACGTTTATTATAACACCACCTCCTTTTTTATGACTTCTTAACTCTGTGTGCATTGTTTAATCGTCAATATTATACAATAAAGTTAATTTATCTGGCATACCGGCTTCTGTAATAATAATGACATCGATTAAATTCTTGTAGGAATCAATACATTGTAAAAGACATGAGTAGTTTTTAATCAGATACCTAATGTTTACATGAAAGCAAGAAATTTTTGATGTTTTAGGCAAACATGATAGGAAGGTTTCGATACTTAAACAGTCCCTAATTTCTTTAATGCTACTTAGATTTGTGTCAGTAGGCAAACCCGTTAGTATAGTATCATTGACCGTATCACAGCAGAGTCCCATATCCGCTTCTTTCCTCAGGATGAAGACCTTGCTTTTATCTTCCTTGCGCACTCTTATTTTTCCATCCTTGAACCATACATATTTAAAGATGTCTGATAACTGTTGTTTTACTTTCCACAAAAACGCCTTATTATATGTGTTAATGCTTCGCGTACAAATATTTTTCTTCCGATTTCATTTTCGTTAGCGTTAAGTATCAGATCTCCGAGTATAGGTTTCACAATACGCGCTTTTTGCAGCAAATAGCAACGTTTTTCCTCCTGGAGCTACACCAGAATATATCCTGGTTTTTATCCGTAGTTTCCTACACGTTTTGCAGTTATCACTCCTGCGTTTTCTATATTTAACTTTTTTTGCTAGATTTCTTACAACTAGTATAGGATCTTCGTTTTCTAGGGCCGGTAATCTAGAAAGTTCCATTTTGTTTTTAGCCGGCTATGTTCAAGTTCATGGACTCGCTATTCCACTGCACACAGTCTTATTTCCATATTTTTGTTAGCCTTGGTGAGTGCGGCATTTTTCTTTTCAAGATCAATATTCTTTGTTGAAATGCTTCGATATTTTCACATATTTCATACATTTTGTCAGTTAAAGGCTCTGGCACCTTTGCAACTGTTTTCTCAACCTCTTTGGAAATATCCATCAGTAGTTTTTTTTATATCAATGGTAGGCAAGGTAGTTTGGGAGACTGGGATACCACCTACGGGGTGTTAGTAGTTGGCTAGTACTTCTTCCTCCTCCTCAGAATCTTCCTCTGGTACTATAAAAGAACTGTTTCTTGGATAATTTTTCAGACAGTCTTTATATATCCAGTCCAAGCTGGTTTTAGCGTGCAGCGCAATTATTTGTTTGGTAGTTAGAGGTGTAGTAGCGATGAATGAACGACTTTTTTACATACTCTACAATCAATACCTGGCGCCTTTTTCGTAATTGTTTTATTGCACGTATAACACTTAGGAATTTGTGACATTACGACGGATTTTTTAAAAAAAATTGTTCGTAGTGGGTTTATTTCGCAACACACATAACTGATGTTTACGAGACGAGCGCGCGTAGACAATTCGACTCCACCCAGAAGAAGTGAAATTGCTCACAGTTATGTAACTCCTATTCATTGAAGACATTTGAACAAGACATTGCTTAATTTGCTTAGCAGTGAACTATAGCCATAGCAGCGATCACAATAGATCTTTTAGGTCGCAGTGATACTGGTCTCTTTTCCTAGACCTGCTTAGCTGCTCGTTCAAAAAAAAAACTGTTGTTTAAAAAAGCTACTTGTACAAGTGTTATTTCGTTTGACAAGCTAGTAAATGAATATTTTAGTGCAGTAAATTACATAAATTTACATAAAACTTCTACTGCGTAGTGACAGCTTAAAAATATCCACTACCCTTTCATCCGGTGTAATAATTCATTTTCTCTAAATAAAATATATATAAACCAGAGATTCTCAGATAGAGCGAGACTTAATATTAAAACCACCATTAACTTTAAAGACGACACAGGCGTGACGTGAAATACATCACATCAAAACTTTGCAATATTGCATTGCAAAATTTAGTTATTTTGTCGAAATAATGACGATATTATTTAAACGTGTCTGTTGGTAAAGAAGCGAATACTCCATTATAATTAAAGTAATGTATTTACGTATTGTATAAAATTGTATTATTGATCAGGTTGATATTAAATTTAAAAAAAATAAACAAAAGAAAGTTTGTTTCAAGAAGTCATTCATTGTTAGAAATGAAAGACTACGTTTATTAAAACTACTTTTACGGATTTTATCAAGTTTTATTCATATTAATTTTAATACCAGACGTTTCGGGTGTTTTCCAGCACCCATGGTCACGGGGGACTGAGGTGACTGACGTCCCGATGTCAAAGTTAACCCGGAGTACCTTCAGCTTTTTAATTATTGTCTTTGGTCCGATCTACGCAGAATGAACTAACTGTATTTTGAAGTCTTGCAGTGGTATGCTTGGGTTCAGTTTTAATTTTATTAATTATAGGATCCCAAGCAGGTGGTAGGTGGTAGGACTGCATCTCAATTATAACTAGGAAACTAGATGAAAATAACATGCCACCAGAATATGCAGTACTACTAAGACATTGCCTTACATCTGGCTATCTATTGTGGAAGGAAGAGTTTTACAAGCAAGTAGATGGTGTTGCGATGGGCTCACCTGTATCTCCCATTGTCGCCGATATATTCATGGAAGACTTTGAGGAGAAAGCCCTCCTTACTGCACCTGTTACCCCAAGGTTCTACAAGC